TGCGTACGACGAGCTGATGTAGGTGCTCGAGATAAGAACCACGTCGCCGACGTCGCCATGGAGCGCCACGACTTCACGACTGCCCAGAAGCCACTCGAGGAGCATCGCCGCGCCAAAGAACCCAAAGGGCGTCGAGCCTACAAGCGGCTCGGACAAGAGCGTCCACTGCGACTGTGTGGCGGCGTCGGTGGCGAATTGAATGACGCGAACATCGAGCGGAACGAGATCGTTCAGCACCGGCGTCGCCGTGATGAAGCGCAGCTCGGATCCAGCAATGATTTGATCGGCCATACCGAGGTATTCGAGACACATCGGTGACGACGGCAAAGTATCGAGCGCGCAGATGGCCTCGGGCGTCGGCGACGGAACGAGCAGGCGGCTCAGTAGCACCGTCATTGGGAGCAGCGACAGGCGGAAGGGTGTTACACCGGTGCATGCATCGTCGTAGTCGAAGAGCGATTGCACGTACGTCGTCGGTGGTTTCGAGAGGCAGAGCGGGCTGCCACCGGCAAACAAGTAGCTGCCAGATGTCCACGCCACCGGTGCAGGTGCAAGCGCCAGCGACGGCAGTGTCACAATCGGCGTCGAGAAGGTGCTCGTGCCGAGAACGCTCCGAAACAGCGTTTCAGACACCGACTCGTAGAACTGCTGGAAGGACACGGGGACGGGGACGTAGTAGGCATCAATACTGTTGAAAGGCCCGATGGCCGCTCGCACGAGCCCCGACTGATTGACGAAGACACCGGCGACGGTCTCCATTCCGAGCAAAGCCTCGAAGCTCGTTTTGTGGCCGAGAAAGTTGACTGCGCTCCGCACGAGGCTTGCATTGAAGAGCCGGGCAAAGTAGAGATCGTTCGCGGGGTATCCGCAGAGCAGAATGGACGTCCACGGCCCAATGTTCGACGGGACGTTCTTGATGTCGACCGAGAACGCCATCCCGAGCGCGTTTGTGAGCGTGATCGTTTCCGAGATCGACGGATCCCGGTCGTTGGTCCACTGCAACTGGAACGACGTGATGTTGCAACTGCGCCAGTAGGCAAGCTCGTCGATCACAGAAGTGTCGTTGCGCGCACTCGACGTCGTGCGCAGCCAGTGACGCCCGTACGCCGACGCCTGCAGCGCTGTGTCGACGCCGACGCTAAAAAAGCCTCCCGGGCCGCCGTAGAGGGCGAGGTACTCGTTGAAATGCGTGTTGCGCAACGTGGCTTCCATGTACACGGCGCCATTGGTCGCGTACCGGGAGGCGCACCGTTGTTGCCGGGCCGCCGTGTGCGCGAGCTCCAGTTGTCGGTGAAAGTCGACATAGCAGAGTTGCGTGGATAGCCACACGAGCTTTTGCGACTTGGTGGCGCGCAAATTGGGAATCGCATGCGCTGGCGACGTGAGCTCAATGTAGAGCAGTCTGCGGACGTACGTCGGCGCAATGAGCGAGAGCGACGTGGGGGCGGTGTAGAGCTTGCGCATGGCCATCCGCGGCGCGAGCAAGTCGACTGTGCCCGAGAACTGCCGCGTCGTGAGCACGGTGTTGGCCAGGTCCACGAGGAACGCTTCGTAGCCGCTGATGTTATAGCCGGACCACCACAGATCGTTGGAGAAGCTCGGGCGCAGCAGCACGAGGTAGTAGACGCCCGTAACAACGGCAACGACGACGTACGCAACACCGGCAAGCGTCAACCACGTGACATGGTGGGACGGCGCAGGGCGACTCCAGACTCGGTGCGCGGACGGCGCGACGCGAGGGCGTAGGTGGAGTGCACGCATCGAAACCTTTCTGGCGCGAAACCCACAACGGTCGTAACCGGCCGAGGTTATGTAACTGCAAGGACTGTCAATGGTAGCTTTGCGACGTGTCGCAAAACACACCTCGCTGGGCAGCCATTGAGAAACCACGTGTGAAAAACGAGAGAAACGTGTGAAAATCAACCGGGATCGACGGGATCGCACTCCTCCACACGTACTGCCATGCGTTCGGGCTCCGTAGCGTGCCGCGAGACTTTTGCGTTCTGTCCCAAGGCGTGTGGCCGACCAAGCTCACCGGGTTTGCGCTCGGGGAGTACGCGTGGCAGCTAGGAGCCGTGCAGCGTCAGCTGGTAGCACCAACTGACGCAACTCGGCTTTGCTTTCAACACGGTGCCCACATGGTCGCGGATCCTCGATGGCCTCGCGTTCTATCGCACGCTGTACGGCTAGATCGATGTACTCGAGACCTTTGTCGTATCGGCCGACGGGGCCCTCTGGCCGAATGCACTCGCCTCAATGCGCCTCGGTCACTGGAAGCACCGGCTCGTTGAGGCCAGGCAGCGCCACGGCCTTCCGAGGGAGATCGAGGTGCGTTTGGAAGTTCTCGAGGTGCCGTTGACAACGACGTGCTTGGCCATCGAGACGTACGTCGCCCATCACGGTCATCTCGACAGCATGTCCGGAGCCTTCGTCGTGCCTGCTTCCAGCAACTGGCCACCGGCGCTTCACGGCACCGCTCTCGGCACGTTTGTGGCGACGCTAACACCCGACAACAGCGAGTTGACGGCCGGACAGAAGATCGTGCTGCACACCCTTGGTGTGACGCTACCTCCGGGCACCGATGCGCCGTTTGGTCGCTACCACAGTCTCGACGACGTCAGCGTCGACTGGGTCGCTTGTTTTCTGGCGCTCGAGACGTTCCAGTTGAGAGAAAGGCCATTGCTGCGTGCCTGATGAGTACATCGCGCCGCGAGACGATCGCATTTGGCCTCGATCACTGTGGGAGTATCCTCTCGGCTCGATCTAGCGCAGTATCCGTGCGGGCCGCGTTCGTGTGACGCGGCCTCATTTGCAACACCTCCTCGCGCACGACTGGGTCCTCTTACCAACACCGACGCCAGACAATATCACATCTGGAGATGTGATCTGGTCGTCTCTTTCAGAAGTGTAATCATCTGTTTTTGCTTGTCACTGCCCACGGCGACGATCAAACCTCGTTCCAAACGTCTATTAGGGACATCCACACGGGATACTATCAACGTATCAACTAAAGATCTTGGAGGCAGAGTGCGACGACGTCGGTGACGTGGCGTCGTCAAACGTGTGCATGGCCTGGACGTGGTGGACGAGCGCGACGGCATCGAACGAT